ATCGCATATTGGCCAGCGAGACCATTTGCGATAAAGGTGGACAAAGCATCCACAATAAAGAACAACGACTTGATCTCTGGGCAGAGTATTTTAGTGAACAGTTCAATTGGCCCAATGCTAATGCGGTCATCCCAGCTATTGCGGCGGAAATGGGTGGTTACATGTTAGCCCCCATCAGAATTGGACGTACGAAGCTACGTTCAATCGTTAAAGAAACGAAAGGCTGCGGGACCTGATGGGCTTTTCCTTATTATTTTTGAGGTGGACGGTGATTATCTTATCGACTTGATTACTTCACAGCATTTGGTCGGAGGAGCGTATCCCTTTTTCCTGGGGTGAATCGTTAATCGTTCCGAACTTTAAGGAGGGAAAGCGTAAACTAAGCCGTGCGGTTTGGTGTAGAGAACCATATTGTATGCCAATAAGATAGGTGCGGTATTGAGATGGGAAATAGAGAAGAAACTCACAACTAGATTTAGATACGAATCTCTGACCTTAAAGCTTGAAGAATGCAAATGACCGAGGATCAAAACCACTCCACCATCACCCCCAATAAGCTACAGCATTTAAAAGCTCAACACTCGAATCCCACTACTCGAAACCGAAAACCAGTGAGGGGTCAAACCAAATTCCAGCTGTGTTCATCTATTTCGGTCGCACGTGCCCGCACCACTTACGATAATAACTGTCTCTAAGGCGCGTGAGCCAGAACACGAAGACCCAATCGAAGAAATCGTGAATGCGATCATCAGTATGGAGCTACAATGGATGCGGCATCCATATTATCTAGGGTTACAAAATACCCCGATAAGATAGCATGGTATTGATTCAGGAGACAAAGAAATCACCTATCGCCGAAGTTGAGTGGGTAGGATGGTGTTTGAGCCCTGCCACTAGACCACGGGATACCAGTGACAATAAGATAATAAAATACTACTTCGCATAGATTGTACAAATTGGAAAAAATAAACACATTAAACCGCGAATGGAAAATAGAGAACAATCATTTTACCAGGATAGGTTATATTTGAATCTGGTAAATCGATGTACATTCTCACATACAGTATGAATGAAGTGTAGTAGTAGAGCAAATACGGTATGGTATTTGCGAATGTAAGATAAACAGAAGTTAGTAACCCACATAAAATCGAGAAATTTCTATGTTGAGTACTCCGCATCTTCCATCGTTCCAGTCATGTGAAAGATCAGAGTAACATCGTACTACCATTGAATCCTCGTCATCAGTCGACCCGGACGAGGATTTGTCATCACCCTCCGTCGGTGGGGTTAGCAAACTATCACTGTATTCAAACGATGATCGACAGACCGAAGTAAACGGGTCCAACGATGACGGTGTTGCAGATAAAAAATCTGGTATCATTGGAGTGGACCGTACTACACTATTTACGGTGCGTTTCCGGCGAACAAAGTGCTCCAGTGGTGGACTTCCTCGCTCATTTGTTGCAATTTGTCGATGGCGGGTTCGGAAAAATGCACAAGTTGGCGTTTTCTGCTTCGCTGGATAAAGTGCAACCTGGTGCATCTGACGGAGTGGTTGTGTCAAATTTGGAAGTGTGATGATACCTCGGCTATGCAGTTCGTCAAATGTTGCATTTTTGATAAAAACCTGTTGAGTAGAGGTGGAAAAAGCGAGACAGCACTACGTAGTAGAAAATAAAATCAAAAAACGGAATGAGAAAAATGCTAAAGATTCGTTTGACAAACCAGATCAGCCCGTAAATTAGTTGCACACAAAGAAAAATCCTCGACACACATGATCTTGATAGTATGGTGATGTCGCAATAATAATTCAAACTGGGGAGTAAGAGGCCACTGACAAACCGGTCACAAAGAAAGTAGACAAGGGTTGTTTCTCGCGCCTGGGATCGGATCTCCGACCTATTTAACTTTAATTATTTAACATCATCACAAAACAACATTGATTAGGTTTTCACGAAGATGAGTACTGCATGTTTCGTTTAGGGTTCGTTGGAATTGGTCAAGCTTATTGTGCCCCTTGATATCATGAAGTCTCCCTCGGACACCACAAATCGGTTAGCAAATAAATCTCAGGTCACCCGATTATACAACGTTTGACTCAATCAGGTTTGGGTATGGCAACTGACATTTTCATCGCTAAGATGTTTGAACCACTTGATCATCGTGTGTGGAGCCGATAAGA